GTATATATAACAAAAATTATAAGGAATAAATTATGCATATAAAAACAATTCTAGGCAATGAATTATTATAAGATGCGATTTATCATGCAATAGAACTTATGATAATGTGTTTTCAAATAATAAATAAAGATACATATATAAAAAAGTATTTTTTTATATGATATTAAGGCATATTTACATAAAAAAAATAATATAACATATAATATCATTTACGTAATATGTCCATATATTATATAATGCACATAAATTAGAACAATTCTATTAATGTAATTCAAATAATCTTTATTACATAATTGTTAACCATGTTTATTAATATGTTTCAAAAAATTATTATAAAAACAAGAACTAAAAAATAGTTGCAATAAGAAAAAACAATTATATCAAAAAATTAAATATAAAATAAATAAACTCATAACTTTAGGATGAAATAGAAAAACTATGAATCCTGAAACACTAAAAAATGAACCCTGAACCCTAAAGCCTTAACACTGAAACCCTAAAAAATGAAACCTGAGCCCTTATATAAAGATTTGTATATTTATCCAGAACTCTTAATAATCATATAAGAAATATAAAAATGAAAGCATTAGGTTTAATGAATTGATACATATAACATTAATACTGAGCCCTCACTGTGTCATTTTGGATTGAACCAATAAATTATATTTATTCTGATCAACAAGAATAAAATGATTATATATCATTATATTTTTTTAATTTATAAATTTTTTTTACGTTGACGCGATATATATAATTCTCAGTAGTATTATCTAAATACCTTATTAATTTTTTGTGAAATAATATATAATTCATTTTACTACTTTCATAAAAAACAAAATATAACTAGTAACAAAAAAAAATAAATGTATGAAGAACATACGGATTATATTAAAAGATGAATCATATATTTTAAAAATGATAGAAAATTTTATTAAAATCTATATCATAAAATTCATGTTTGTAAATATAATTCTTATTTTTTTAGCCTATGTATAGACATATATATTTAACATTTACATAATGTACTTATTACGCATCTTCTTGAAATTTTATAAATAATATAAATATATATTATTCCTCGATATTTCATGTTAGAATGTTTAGAAAAAATTATTTTTTAATAAAACAACCTGAGTACTTTATACAAACATTTTTATATTTTACATTCGGTGAATGCATTTTTTATATTATAATATATAGCTTTATTTTTTAATTAATTATATGGTATAATTAAGTAGAATTAGATAGAACATAATAGGGATAATAATATTTATTATTTAATATATTAACATGGTAGTATACGTTATA